GTTCAAGATCAGGAAATGGATATTTGGTTTTATTTATTTTCTCAATTCCAGATTAATCTATTTTTCATATTCAATGCTTAAAGTAAAAAGATGGGTGATGTCTCCTTATAAGGTATTTCTCCCGCCTTCTCAGCAGGCTCGACGAGTATTCCAGAGATCCGTGGTTCTATTCACGGCGAGGACGTTGCTCATTTTTCATCACTCCTGCTTTAACAAAATACCTAATGTCTACACTGGCGTCCGAACTAAAAAGAGTGGTGGTGATGATTCTCCACACCCAGAATTTGGCGAATAGTTCCCTTAAACCCCATTCGCCCTTTAAAATGGGGAGTATATAAGGTATTTTTCCCGCCTTCTTAGCATGCTTTCGTTGTGTAGTGGTCAGCACGCTCGATGCGTATTCGAGATGTCCGTGGTTCGAGTCCCGGCGAGGGCATTGCTCATTTTTCATCTCTTCTGCTTCAAAAATACCTAAGGTCTCTACATCCTCACCTAAAATTGAATTTTATTTGAAAAGAACATTTCATTTCTTTCATTATGTCCGCTTTCGGTGGCGAATTTTAGATATTTATCCGTTCCGTCTGACCAGCTCATCTGTCTGGTCATTCTGAGGCTCCTTCTTCGAATTAATGGTAGGATACTAGTTTTTTTCAAGTAATTTTTAGGCTTGGATTCTTCTCTTCTCTATATTCGAAGCATTTAATATCTTTTTATTTGTTTTAGTGACCTGAATTTATTACGTCATCTTATGACTAACTGAATAAGTTAAATCAACCTAATTAATATTATTAAAATAGCAAGTCATTAATATAGCGCTTTTTTATGTCACACGTTTGACGTTAGAAACGTTTATAACTTACTTTTTGTTTTCACTTCAATTATCCTACTTTACTCTACCAAAGCAATTATTACCCTCTCAGTCTGACAAGTTTTGCCATTCTACAAGGAAAAGTTTTTTAGTACATCATCCTGTCAAATTGGCAGTTCTGAGAAGTATTGCGATTTAGTATGGCATAATACTTTAATTTATCTTTCAAATAAAAACTATAGTGTTTAACAACTTGAGAGATTTAAAAGCAAGGTACATACTTATTCATAATATACATATATTTATTTTACTTTCAATAATATCTAATTAGTGTTACTCATAAGGCATCTGATTCATGTGATTTATAATTTACATCAATTAATAATTTTTTAAACATTTTCAGCATTAGTTATTAAAATATATATGTATCATCATGCATTACATCAGTACAAAATAATTACACGCCCTAAAAGCGAGAGATTATTTTATCTAGGAGGGGAGGAAATTAGTGCATACTGCCGTTATTTGAAACATTTAGCTTAATTATTAAGTATTATAATTATTAAATTATCAAAATAATTAGATAAAGCTAAATTTGTAATTAATAAGGTAAAATTGCCTCAATATGAGTTTATAATTAACGCACAACTAAAGCAGCTAAATTATGTTTCATTTATACTTTGAGTAACTTACAGATAATATTTAAAATAGTACTAGAGCTAATATTATTATACTCTCAATTTTGTTGATAAGAGTTATTTAATGCTTTATTAACACCCTACCAGTGATCTAATTCTTAATTTATAAGGTATTTTCTCCCTTCCTCCAGCATGCCTTTGCGGTGTAACAGTAGCACATTTGGCGGGTATTCGAGGGGTCCAAATTCGAGTCCCGGCGAGGGCATTGTTTATATTTCATATCTCCTTTTTCCAAAATAAAAATAAATCCATTGTCTGTACAGTGGCCCTCAAACTAAAACATGGTGGACAATAATTTATCACCCCCAGGCTTTGGCAAGTGGGTCCCTTAATCCACAGTCTCTCTTTAAAAGGGGGAGTATATAAGGTATTTTCTCCCTTTCTTCAGTGTGCCTTCGTGATGTGAAGGTAGTTTCGGTGGGGGCATTGCTCATTTTTCTTATCTCCTGTTTCAAGAAATATACCCAGTGTCTCTAAGCAGTGGCATCCGAACTAAAAGGTGGTGTACAGTAATTCATCAATACCAAGATTTGGCAATTGGGTCCCCTAATCCGCAGCTTCCCTTTTAAAGGGAGTGTATATGAGATATTCCAGCATGCCTTCATGATGTAATAGTATACTCGGCGTGTATTCGAGAGGTCCAGGTTCAAGTCCCGGCAAGCGCATTGCTCATTTTTCATATCTCTTGCATCAAAAAATAAACCTTATGACTCTACAAAGTGAATGAAAATGGGCAGAAAATAAGATGATTTATATTGGTAACAGAGAAGGAAGTAGATATGTAACTAGTGATGAGGTTAAGGACGTTCGTACGAGCGCTTTTTTAAAATTTATCTCTGTACCATCAAAGGAAAGCCCATATCTTGTGTGTCCTAATCATATTTTGACTTATCTATTGCTAAGAATTAGGGTTTCATCTGGTTTCAAGTTGAGTCAAACACTTAACTCGATGACCAGCATTTCCACAACAAATGTATTTATTTTAAAATGTTTTTTATTCTTGCACAATTATTTATATTTCTACTTTCTATATAAAACAGAACATTTAATTAAAATTTTTACACACAAGTTTTACCCTTTGTTAAAAATATTTACAGTTTTAGTCCCTGGATGAAACCATATTGACATAACTGTGGTGTTTATAATCATGCAATGCTTTATTATAATACATGATAATGCAATATTTTATTATAATACGTGATAATAATGCATGACAGGCATTATTAATTCCATCTCGTATATTTTATCTTTTCGTACTCTTTGCTCTTTCGAACGCTTTCTATTACTCTTCGTTTTAATCTAATTCATAGAATATTTGTATTCCATTCAGAAGAACTTACGATTGTATTTCCATTTCATTCCTCTGTTATTGTTCTTTTCACGTGTGGGAAGATAGACGAGATTGGATATCAATGATCCAGAAGAAGAAAAGAGAAACTAGATATTTTGCAGCTTATATAGCGAAAGTAAAGCTCAGATGATAAAGGATAATGCGAAATTTCCTTTTTACAGTTATTGATTTGTCTTATAACACCCAAAGCGTATAACAATATTTCAAGAATAGTGATGAAATTCTTTTAAGTCCAGCACACGGCATAAGAAATGAATGCTGCTTATATTTCTTTATAAAAACGAAAAATTCCTGACTATGATTAAAATGCCAGTATTTATTTATTTTTTAAATATTTCTAAATTCAAGCCACAGTGTTTCTATTTATTGCGTTTATTTCTTTTATACTTTAGAGAAATCATTTTTTTATATCAAAGGAGCGTATCTATAAGTATTATTTCTGAATAAAATATTCAGATTTTTGTATCTTCGAAAGTGATAAAAATTTTCTTGAGATGTATGTTTTAAAAGTTGCCTTGCAAGCTGATAGTAAAAATTGCCTGAAAGGGAATAAGCGGTTAAGTTATTAGAGATGTTTCTTCTTCTTTACCACGTGATTTTGTAGTGTAACTGAAAGCATACCAATCAGAAGGTCCGCAGTTTGAATCCCGGCGATGGCTTAGCTTATTTTTTATGACTCTGCAAGTAATGATTCTACACAGTAATCTGTCATAATGTACTTTTTGTGAGGCGTTAACGTTTACAGGCACTGTTTGTTTTAGAAAAGATTATTTACTCAGTCTAGTTTTAGGTAACCATAAACATAGTCTTCACATTCGTATTTTGCACTCAGGTTTTAGCAACAGCTTTTGCGGATCAAAGTTATTTGCTAAACACATCAAAATAAAATTTAAAAAAAACTGTCAGTTTTAGACCATAGTTTTTCAACCATACTTAGCCCACCGGCCACTTTGAGGATATTATTTTTTTCTAAAGCCCCTCCCCAATTTTTTTTACTTGCGCATCTGAAACAGCTCTTGCCACGAATTATATTTAAACGTGTAATATTATATAAACTTTAAACGTATAGTCGTAAGATAGGGTATCACCCTATCCTTATTCAGAGTTTAAAGAAGACAGATTCAATGAGAGCAATTAAAAAGCTTACTTGATTATATTAAAAACTATTTTATTAGCATTTAAAAGACATGGGATTTATTACTTATCTAATGAAAAGGTTGAATTTGATGCATTTTCAGGAGTTTGTTAATATCGTATTCTGTTTTACTTAAAAACAACCGTAAGTTGCCGCGTTCAGTAACATGGAGCCGATTTCTCATTTTAGTTACCAACGCTGCTACAGCACTAGATCCACGTTCAATTAAATAGGAAGATGGGAATTCAATCAGAAATCGTTGAACAATCGACCAGAATCCTGCGTACAGTTGCAAAATCGGCTTCTGCAGCCAAACTTCTTGGTAGCCATTCTTGAATTTAATTTTTAATTTTTCATTTGTCGTCAGTTCTATTAGTTCTTCTTCTAACTGGGATGATCCTGCTGTGCTGACATTTGAAAAAGGATCCCAAACCCAGTCTGGTATGTCCATGTTTAGAATGTCGTGGAATCGTTTCTTGAAATCACTGCGGAGGTTTTCCCAAGTGTTGACAGTAAACAAGCAAGTCGTCGTGCGTGAATGATAGTGCTGATAAATTTGGGAAGTTATTGAATTCGCGTCTGCCAATATTTCTTTTGTATAACAGCAGTTTGGACACGAAAGTAGCAAAGCTATTTTTTGTCTTAATTTTAAGTTAAAGTCGTCGCCTTGAAGTTGGAGATTGATAGCATTAAACAATTTATACAGGTCTGTCAAGCACGCAATATCGTTCTTTGATCAGATGAGGTTGTCGCTCAGTTCCGTATCTTTGTTTCCTAGAACTCTATCACAGATCCAAACAGATTGTAAAATCGAGTGAAACAAGTACCTTTTGGCAGCCAGCCCACCGCTGTAAGAAGCAACAATCGCTTGAAATTTTCATCATTGGCAATGCAAAGCTGACTAAATAAGCTGTCAGTCAACGAGTTACTTCTGACTTTATTAACTTCTTTGATAACATATTGCAGTGATGAATTGAGGCGTTCACTGAGATTTTTCGCAACCAAATGCTAGCGATGAATTACACAATGCACAGCAAGCACGCCAAGAACTTTATTTTTAAGCACGCTTATGAAGCCTTCGTGACGCCCTGTCATAGCCAGTGCGCTATCCGTAGCAACTGGCAAAATATTATTAAAAGGAATTTTTTTTACATCACAAAACTTTTCCAGCGTATTGAGTATGGTTTCTTCTTTTGTATCTGTTTCCAAATTGGTAGCAAACAATAATTCTTGACATAATTTTTCATCTTCGATAAACCTCACATATGACAATAACAATGCTTCATTGGTTGGTAAAGTAGACTCATCCAGCTGAATTGAAAATTGAAATGTCTGCAGATGATTGTACAATGATTCTTCAATATTTGCAGCCATCTCATCAATTCGTCTTTGCACAGATCTATTGCTCAAAGCAATTTTTCAGATAATATCTGTAGCTGGTTTATGGAGCACAGTGGTTATTACTTCATTTACTGCTGGTAAAATTAAATCTTCCCTAGTAGTATGTGGTTTGCCTGTTTTAGCAATCAACAATGAGATATTGTACGAAGCTCGAAGTCCGTAATCGTCTTGCTTAGAAGCTGATGAAAAATGTTTTGATATAGTTGACTAAACTTCGAACTTCTTTTTCATGTCATGAAAATAGGTCAAATCTTTGTCTTTATTATTCGAGTCTATTTTATTAAAATGATCTTGAAGCTTAGAAAGGCTTCATTTGAAAATGTTTTTTGACAAATAAGGCACATTGGTGATGATGGATTCATGCGATTTTTGATAAATCCATATTTAATATAATCTACACCAGCGGTTCTCAAACTTTTGACTAACGCGTACCATCTAAACAAAAATTGAAAACTTTTACTACCACTAAAAAGTACTACTACCACCACTACTCTTGAACAAAGCTTAGATCACATAAATCTACGTATGTTAGAGAAAAAACTCAACCAGGATATTGGGGGTTTTAATTTTTGAATTTAATAGTTAAAAATACTTTGCTTCTTTGTGTACCGCCTATTTTTCTCTTGCGTACCACCGGTTGAGAACTCCTGATCTATACATGGAGGTAAGAAAGGAAGGAGTGGCCAAACCGGCATTAGAAGTGAAGCACTGCTCCGAAGCTTCGGTCACCAGATGGGTTGTTTTTTGTTTACATTCAGAAGCTTGCTTGACAGTGCTCTGAGAGTATTTCGACACACCACAGTTCCATACAAATCAAAAAACGGGACACTTCCGCATAAAATAAACATTCCTAGTATGATGGATAATAGCAATTTGTATAGTTTAGTGACATTTTACGAAAATATCGCATCTTGGTTATTTTTCGATAACTAACAACAGCGATTTTGATTATGAATTTGTTTTATAAAATTCTAAGCTGTTGAACTACAAAAATATAGATTTTAGCAAAAACGTTCTGCTTAAAGAATGAAAAATACCTCACCGTACCTTTAAAATTGTATACATTTTTCGATATCTTTAATATAGTATTCGCTATTTTTATTTTATGTTCCAAACGCCAAAATATTTTAAATAAAATAAATTTTTTCATATCCACATATTATTGTAACATGTACTTTTTAAAATTAGTGTAAATTACTTTACTCGAAAAATATAGTGAATGCAAAGGAATTAAAGATTTCCACACGCCGGAAATGAAAACTGTGAAATATGTATGGGTATTTATGCATGCGCTTTCAAAAATTATCTATCTGCCTTTAAAAAATACGTAAATATTTATTAAATTATTTATAAATGTATTTAAATGAAGCATTTATTCATTCATAAATAACTGTGAAAGTTACTGGGAAGAAATCTAATTATTAAATGTATCTTAATTTACAATGATTATAAATATTATCTAAATATATAACAACCTTAACATTGAATTGTAAACATAAATTGACATCCTGTTGAGAAATACGTTATAAAACTATTTAAGCAAGAATTCCTCGTACTGGAAAGCAATCTGTTAAAAGGTATTGTAAAGCAATTTCTATGAGATGCGTACTTCAGAAAGTAATAAAGCAGAGTTTTGGAATACGTATTGTTGAAATTAAGGATAAAATATCTAATAAGTGTAATTAAAGGAATTATTCCCCTTACATTTTATAATAACTCAGTTACAAGTTTTAAATAATAATTAAAAAAAATTCTTATTTTATTCCCTTTCAGAAATATTCAGAGAAAGTTAAGTACTATTTAAAGTATTTCGCTATTAAAAGGTGCTCTAATTTAAAATGGACCGAATAGAGCATTAATTATAAATTGACTTATATTTTTCCATTTAAAAGGTGCCTCAGAAGCTAAAAAATCATGTCATATTTGAGAAAGTATTTTCGGAAGAAGCTCTATAAATAGAAAAGAAATAATGTATAATTTCAATATTAATAATGCAATAAACTTTGATCTTCATTTTTGTACCTTAACCGAATAAAATCGAATTGCCTTACAATTTTTTTCTATTGTAATTAACGAAAACTTGTGAAAATATTTCATTCAAATTAAACCATTCTGAGCAAACTGTTCTGTGAAAAGTATAGCATTTAATTCCGTTCAGTATGAAATTTTGTTTAAAAATGTATTCTTTTCATATAATTAGGACTCTGAAGTGTTGTAGAAAAAGAAAATATACACATTTATATGCATATTTACGACGTAATTACAAAATATTTACATCCGATCATGTCAAAACCCACTGAACTCAATGGTAAATTACCCAATGTTTTGGTCACCAAAGAAGGGATCGCCAGTGCTTCAAAGCAGGGTATGGGATAACCGGTTTAGGGCCATTCCATGTAACTTCCTACCTCCATGGATCTATACCATGGAGGTAGGAAGTAAGATGGAGTCGCGCTAAACAGGTTTCTCCCGTACCCTGCTCTGAAGCACCGGCGATCTCTACGTGGTGACCAAAACATTGGGTAATTTACCATTGAGTTCAGTGGGTTTTGACATGATTGGATGTAAATATTTTGTAATTACGTCGTAAATATGCATATAAATTGTATATTTTCTTTTCTACAACACTTCAGAGTCCTAAGTATGTGAAAACAACATATTTTTAAACAACATTTCATTCTGAACGGAATTAAATGCTATACTTTTCACAGGACAGTTTTCTCAGAATGGTTTAATTTGAATGAAATATTTTCACAAGTTTTCGTTAATTACAATAGAAAAAAAATTAAGGTAATTCGATTTTATTCGGTTAAGGTACAAAAATTAAGATCAAAGTTTATTGTATTATTAATATTAAAATTATGCATTATTTCTTTTCTATTTATAGAGCTTCTTCCTAAAATACTTTCTTAAATATGACATGATTTTTTGGCTTCTGAAGCATCTTTTAAATCGAAAAATGTAAGTAAATTTATAATTAATGCTCTATTCGGTTCATTTTAAATTAGAGAATTATTACGAATTAGCGAAATACTTTAAATAAGTATTTCGCTAATTCCTAATAATTAAATAGGTATTAAATTGTACTTGACTTTCTCTGAACATTTCTGAAAGGGAATAAAATAAGTTTTTTTTTTTAATATTATTTAAAACTTTTAACTGAGTCATTATAAAATGTAAGGGGAATAATTCTTTTAATTATACTTATCAGATTTTTTTTTTACCCTTCATTTCAACAATACATATTCCATAACTCTTTATTACGTTCTTAAGTGCGCATCACATAGCATTTGCTTTACAATACCTTTTAACAGATTGCTTTCCAATACGAACAATTCTTGTTCGTATTGGAAACTTAAATAGTTTTATAACGTATTTGTCAACAGGATTTCAATTTATGTTTACAATTCAATATTAAGGTTATTGTATATTTAGATAACATTTATAATCATTATAAATTAGATACATTTAATAATTAGATTTCTTCACAGTACTTTCACAGTTGTTTATAAGTGAATAAATTCTTCATTTCAAATACATTTATAAATAATTTAATGAATATTTAAGTATTTTGTCAAAGGCAGATACATGCTTTTTGCAGGCACATGCATAAATACCCATACATATTTCCTATTTTTCATTTCCGGCATGTGCAAATCTTTAATTTCTGTGCATTCAGTATATTTTTCGTGTAAAGCAATTTACACTAATTTAGCATACACCCGAAAGTTTTACATAAAAAATATATATGAATATAATTTGAATGAAAATTGTAAGTATTATTTTTAATACCCATTCAAAGGTCAGTTTTTCTTCAAAATTCCTCCACGATGGCATCTCTCTCTTTAGGCAGATATCCCTTGCATGCGTTACTCTATTTAATAAAAACTTAATCTGACCTATGTACCTTATTACAAATATTTTAACATACATAATTTTATATTTATAAAATGTGTAAGCCCAAAGTGATTATTTTTCAGATATATAAAATTAAAACTATAGGTTTAAAATGAGCAGCAGTAAAGCCTGTCCTCTAAAAAATTTTAAAAGGTACATGTTACAATAATATATGGATGTGAAAAAAATTTGTTTTATTTAAAACATTTTGACGTTTGGAAAATAAAATAAAAGTAACGAATACTCTATCAAGGGTATCGAAAGACGTATACAGTTTTAAATGTACCGTAAGGTATTTTTCATTCTTTAAGCATAACATTTTTCTTAAAATCTATATTTTTGTAGTGCAACAGCTTATAATTTTATAAAACAAATTCATAATCAAAATCGCTGTTGTTAGTTATCGAAAAATAACCAAGATGTGATTTTTGCGTAAATGTCACTAAATTATACAAATTGCTATTATCCATCACACTATGAATGTTTCTTTCATGCGAAAGTGTCCCTTTTTCGATTTCTATGGACTGTCGTGTGTCGAAATACTATCAGAATCTTGCCAAGCGAGCTTCTGAATGTAAACAAAGAACACCCCATCTGGTGACCCAAGCTTCAAAGCAGTGCTTCACTTTTAGCGCGGGTTGGCCCCTCCTCCCTTTCCTACCTCCATCATCTATACTATACAGCCGTCTTTTCTTTTTTGTTTTTGCTTCCGAGATGGTTTCTACTTTACCTATACGTGAGTAATAGTATTGAATATTAGACATATCCAAGTTAAGGCTTATTTAGCATCAAGTATATATATTGTGACAGCTGTGACAAGAAACATGACATTTACAGCGCGTTGAAAATTAGCTGTCACAAGCTGGTAAAAAAATATGTGCCAAAAGACGGTTGTTATCAATTAACTATTTCCATTACCCAAAAATACGCGACAAATAACGCAAGCTCTAAATTAACTATTTCCTTTTCTGAGGAAAAAACCGGTGTTAAGCACCCTGCGGGTGATCCACTCAGGGAGACACAAAAGAAAGACTTCGAGATCGCTAAAAGATGACCGGAGAACTGCGATGATATGC